AGGAACCCAGGTGCCGATTTCTTTCTGCAATCCCAGCAGCTGCTGCAATGACATTTAGCAGCACAGCCTATGAGTTTTAACCCTTTGCTTCCTGACTTTCTTCTGTTATTGTTCCTCCTTTTCACTAGTCTTGCTGGGAAGAAAGAGCTGACCCATACCTGCCAGCCTCTTCAGGCACAAAAGCATTCATCTACCCACCTCACAAAACTCCTAATCCTAGTATCATAATACCTACAAAACTGACACTGTACCATCATCTTTCATTTTCATTTTCTACACTTTCCCCTCTTTGCTTCGTGCTCTTCCCCCTCCAGTTGCCACCTCTTTTGAGTCAGATGCCCAGATCCAAGGCATTCAGCCTCCTGGTGAAGGAGGAATATGACCTCATCACAGGAAGTTTCTGCTCCAGCTTCTAAGCTGGGTGACTTGTGCTTGCATAACCACCTTTGTCAGTTACCAGCTTCTCAAAGTAATGATTTCATCTTCTCTATCCATCTATAAAGTGCTTGTGGTTACCATAAGGAAAGATTTTTCAGTGGCACAAATGGAAGAACCAGTCCTTCGTCTCCTAACTATAAGTAAACATCATGATTTTAATTAGGAAAAAACAAACAGAGAATTTTAAAATGATAAAAGATCATATTTTTCAAATATGTTTTAAAAGAGTATTTCTTTAACATTTATAATAAAGGCAGGCAATTCACGTGCTGTTAGAAAAGTTTATATGATCTAATAACCATACATCTCTCTCCACACAGAGAGACCATCTACCATAAACTATGTGACACACAACATACACAAAATCTGGCCTCTGCTAAAAATATTATATCTCTGGTCTCAGTTTTTAAATCAATGTCTTTTTTTTTTTTTTTTTTTTTTTTTTTTTTTTTTTTTTTTTTAGATTACAGCAGTTTTAAGACTCTCCAAATAACTTTCTGTTCCCTGTCTGAGGTCTTGGGGATGAATGAAAAGGGTTACTTGCTCTCAAAAATATCTATTTTATTTAGTTAGATGATAGTTAATACTATTCCTATCCAGAACTCTGGGGATTTTTGTTACATAAAAAAATAATCCTGCTGATGTTTTACTGTTCTGATCATTTTAACACGTATCTAGAAAACCATCTGTGTTCAAAGATCCCTGGTTCATCTTTCACCATCAGGGTGAAACAAAGGCTCAAGTTCTTAAAAAAACGTGTATTTTTCTTGTAATGAGCATTGAAATCAGTTTGTTTGCTTTCCCAGACTGAGATGCATAATCTCCAGAGACCTGAGCCTGATACATTCACTTTTATAGCAAGAGGGATCCAGGTCAAGCTGCCCTGCAGACATCAGCTGTGACTATATGGCAGATACTTGCAAAAAGGCATGAATTTTTAAACTCTGGAGCTATGGAATTCCCAAGATTGCTAGAAGTCATCAGCATTCATGCGAGTGTTTTCTGCTGGTTCAGAAAATACTCATGCACATTCATATGACTATGGATTTCTGTGCAAATTCAGAAAGCAGAATGTATTCAGAAGAGAACTCCCATGACAGACTAGAGAATGGAAGAGCACCAACTGCGTTATTTAGGGATGTGGTAGCAATAACAGGGGTCACATTTTGAAAATCTAGCAATCCGTCTTCAGTATCATAAGGGACTGGGTGCATGGTACCATAAATTATTGTCATCTGTGCAAAAATGCTATTTCAAGAACCACACAGCAGTTTTTCAAACCCTATATATGAAGTCTGAAGGTGAAAGGAGTGATTATTTTTTGGTTTAGTTTATAAGATACTTTAGTGAGGTTTAAAAAACAACTATAAAGCATATTCTCTTGGTGGAATGAAGCAAGGAGGGGAAGAGACAGGATAGTCAAGGCACAGTCAAGAAACTTACATCCAGATTCTCTCTTAACATCACTGACTACAGCTGCTCACATAAAGACCATTCTTTTTTCTTCCATTTTTTTCTCCAACCATATTTTCAAAGAGATAAATTATTTTCTCATTGTAGCGATCTACCTGTGGCAGTTTCTAGTGACTGTCTTTACCCTAAAATATACCAGATATTTAATTTAAAAAAAACAGTATTTTTTCCAAATTAGTGATTGTCAAAATTCGCACTGAGCACAATCTGCCTTTTCCTATGAGCAGTACCCACAGCCAAAGCAGACAAAGTTCAGAAACACAGTAAAAGGGCATCTCATTTCTGCAGACACTTGGACGTAGGATTTATATGTTTGGATTAAGGTATACTGAGCTGGGTACAAGGGTGAGACTCCTTTGAGCACAAGGTGAAATACCAGCGTAATTCAGTGTGACAAGATCCCTAAGAGCCTGAGGTAGGTGTCAATCGCCCTCTATCTCTTATTATATTCAAGTAATTAATCACAGTAGCGCCTGGTGTAAGCTTGGTAATGAACTGACTGCACTAATCCCATTTATGTTTAAATACATTGATTGTAGTTCCACAAAATAGAAGTTCAACATAATCAAGGACTTTATACACAGGATCCAACATCTTAACAGTAACACACAGTTTATCAGCTTTATTTTTATTCAAGTAAATGATTTTCTCACACTGTAATTAACTACTAGGACTTGTTTCTATTTAGTATTACAGCAGGAAATAATTGCAGCTGGTCTCACACTAAGGGTTACTATTATCTCCGAAGAAATGAGGATGATCAATATTCTAGGGAGGACAGGTACTGAAAATGCTTCCTGAATAACCTACAGATCAATAATCACCATAGAAAATGGAAGGGAGATTTGCATTTGAAGGAATGCCAAGGAGACCCCAGGGGAAGGAATTGAGTGCAAAAGACCAATATGCATTTTCTCTAACTTATTTTTTCACCTGTGACTGAACCTCAAGTCATCGGGACTCAGCTCGCCTGCAATCTTCAACCAAACAGTTGGGTAGGTGTGTCAGTAGCTGATTGCCTGCTACCAGAGAAGCTTTTAGGATATGATTTTAAGATGAGCAGATATAAACTTGATTTTCTTTTTTTTTTTGTTAACTACCACAATAGCAATTACAATCACATATTTTATTTGCAACTTGTGAATAAATAGCATATATTTACTTCTTACTGAAACTTGACTTGTATTATGGGCAACTTCAGTGAAACCCCCTTCCCTGGAGGTGTTCAAGGCAAGGCTGGATGGGGCTTTGAGCAACCTGGTCTAGTGGAGGTGCCTTTGCCCGTAGCAGGGGGTTGGAACAATATGATCTTTAAGCTCCCTTCCAACCCAAACCATTCTATGATTCTAAGATTAAATAAGAATGTTCAATGGCACTAAAGAACCTAGTCCCAGGGAGACCCCATCCAAGTGGTTTCCATAGGTTAAAAGGATGCCATTCCACTCAGCTACAGCAAACATAATAACTTTGTTGATTTTTTCAATTCACATGAAAGAAGCATTTTTGCAGAATCACCTAGAAAAGATCTTTTCCAGCAGCTGGACAGTGGGGAGAGACCCTAGGTCTGAGCATTCCTGGGGAAAGCAGGGAAGATGTGGAGTTACTTCCGAATTTTGCCTTCCTCTGCTTGTATTTGCTCTGCTTAGAAAACTGAATCTGTAGGGTTTTTAGGAGAAACAGTAAGACTGGTGGGAACGAGGTATGAATGTGTGTGAGAGCAGTAAAAGAAATGGCAGAAAAATAAAAGAAAAATATGCATTGAAGACACCTCGATGAACAGGCTGTCAAGATCACAGCAGACTCACATGCAACTTCTGAGCACCGGCACAGGGTGCCCAGAGAGGTTGTGGAGCCTCTTTCTCTGGACATATTCAAAGCCTCCTGGATGCATTCCTGTCCAACCTTCTATAGGTGAACCTGCTTTGGCAGTGGGGTTGGACTAGATCATCTCTTAAGGTCCCTTCTAACACCTACAACTCTGTAATTCTCACCCCAAGAAGCAAAACCAGCCTACAGTCAGGGGAGGAGACTACAGACTAACAAATAGACCAGCAGTGTTTCACAATGACTCATGGGAGTGGGACAAGCTGAAGAGGCAAAAGACTTCAATAGATATCAACTCCTAACGGACCCAAAAGGTATATCCAAAATGAGTATATGGTCACAAATCTATGAGGAACTTGGGACAGGTGAAAAGGACTTGATAGTCAGCATTCCTTACCTTCCATTTTACCACAATTAGTGTTGGACAGAGTGGTGGGACATGCACATCTTAGTGAGTCTATAAGAATGTAAGCAAGAGCCAGTTTGCTAGTAAAGGTGAAGGAAAGAGTCACCTTCCTCTAGTGTATGGTCTCATATTGAGAATTGCTACATGGATTGTGCAAACTAATCATCAATATAGAAAGAATAAACTAGTGAAATTAGATCAGTTCTCCACTGGGGGATCTGGAATAACGAAGCAATAGTAAGTAAAAAACATTCTAATTAAGTTTCCAAATTTCGAGGAAAAAAGACGTTATTAAATATTACTAATTTCTCCACTGAAGTTAATCAATAACAACTGTGTCCCACATGGCCAATAAATACATTTGGCTTCCTTACTGTTGCCTATTTTCTAAACATGAGCATGCATTTTAATTTTGCTCTACAGTAGAAGAAAACTGGTGAAAGCTTTACCTGACCCTAGCCAATCCAGAATACCTGAGAAATTATGTGAATGTTGGGAAAGAGAGGAGTTGCATGAATATCAGGATTGTGCAAAATGTTTGTTTGTGTAAAATTCACTTGTATGTAGGCCCTATTAAAAACAATATAGAATGATAAGAGTACTTTGGAAATTATATCTTCCTGATTTGGGTTTCATTATATTTGTAGAGATGTTTTGTTGTTGTGAAAAATTAATAATAAAAAATATATATACTTTTATTTTTTTTCCTTTCTAAATTACAGCCTTTTCAGGCCAGGTGGTTTCTGGGATGATCACAGACAGGCAGGTGAGCATTTTTACTTCTTGTAGACTTGGAGCCATGCCATTCATGATATTCCAAGAAAATTCACCCCTTTGCTCCCTGCACAGCCCCATTTACCTCTTTCAAGTCTTGGACAACAGCAGTGAGTCTCTCATTTTCTGCCTGAACGTTGGTGACCACCGCCCTGCTCTGCTTCAGCTCGTTCTGCATCTCCAAAATCTTCCCGAGGTAATAAGCTTCTTTTGATGCAGACTCCTGGAGGAGAGTCTCTTCACGTGTTTCACCATCTTCAGCCACTTTGCGGTGAATCGAGAAGGATTGTCCAAATGCCTGCAAGAGGGAAACAGTGCACAGTATAAAACTACTGAAGCCCGAGAAAAATTATCAACAATAACAAGCAGCTGCAGAGCCAGCGGGAATGAAATAGATCTGCGAGTCCCAAACTCTGACCTAATAAATAGTTCCTTAGCAGCTTCCTAGCAGCTGAGGGCCACCATCTCATTTAGCTGAAATGAAGCATCTTGAAGCTGTTCCCATTTGCAGTATGGATTTATGGCCCCTATCCAGGCGACCTCCACTGAGATCAAGATGGTGCTCTGCTAACTGGCCATTAATTAGCACTGGTGTTTAACTCTCCTGCATGAGGCCAGCTCGTCAGTTCCTTTCTTCTCTAGTTCTGCAAAATAAATGCGTGACTTGTTCTGTTTTAAAGAGCATAAATAGCTGACAAATCTCTCTAAATTGCTTTCCATTTTCAATATTCTTTTACTATATTAGCTGACTTCATGGTATGGAAAATAGCTTCCCATAACTTGAAAGAAAGATAAATGAGCTGAGCATCAAGCAGTGTCCATCTATACCGCTGGTAAGCTAAACACAGAATTTGGCAGCCCCTTCATCTTATTTATACTCAGTGTTTTCTGCTTCTGCTGAAAAGAAACAATATTTAAGTTGTCAAGAATTTTCTAAATATGTAGGTTATTTTCAGTGATCCTCTCCTTAGAGAAGCTTAATAAGGCAGTACCTCTCAGTGATAATTTATGATGTTATTTTGGAGGAACCTGGAAGAAAACAAAGTTCAAGCCACAACAGTAGAAGTGATGGAGGTATCAATTAGCTGTGAAAGATAGAGGGGAAAAACCTGCAATAATATAACAACATAAAAAATAATGTAATAACACAAAATAATTTAAAAATAAAGTAAAAATAGTAATAAAATAATTATATAAAGTAAAATAAAAGCAAAACCTGTTTTGTCTGTAATACCTTTAAATACAGACTTGGTTGAAAACTGTGGCCTAATTCTGGAAAAACCCAAAACAAGGCCTCTAATGTGGAAAAACATTTAAGCCTAACATAGGCAAAAGCTCTCTCATATATCTCGATTCAAAGAGATTGTGTTTGAAAGACCATTATTTTTCTTTTTTTTCCCCCCAATAAAGGAGAGAGAATTATAAGCCATGGTAATATATGTGCTTTCAGTGGGAAATTCTCCCCAAAAACCTGATTTCTACCCAGGCTCATGAAACCACAAAGCAGAGTATACATTTGTACCCACTGTAAGCAGTGGCTTGCTTTGCCTTCCCGTCAATAAGAGCTACTTATCAAATGAAAACCATTGTTTTACTACCGCTATTTATAGCCTTTCAGAACATGTTCTAAGTTTTACTGGCACCAGGACTGAAGCAGCCCCTTAGAAACTTCAAAGCAAAACCCTGTCAAAAACTTTTTAGCTTTTAAGTCTACTTCACTTAGAGAATCCTGTGAACTCAGCATTAAAGGATTCTAAAAATATTCAATAATGTATTAACCCAGCTGTCTTCTCAAAAGACTGCAAGTTACTGAAATAGCAAGCATCAGCAACTTGCCGAATAGGATTTTCCAAATAACAAGAAATCCAATTTAATGAAACTGTTAAGCACTGATTCAGTCACTATATCTGTGAATCTAAGACGACTGTTTCAGGAACACGGCTAATGAATTATATCTTACTCTACATATTTATATTCAATGTTTCACTGTTCCTAATTTAAGACTAACTAAAAAGCACCAGTGTAATAAAGACCCTACAAGACAAACGTAAAGGCCACATATCCAGAGGAAAAATCAAAACACAGCAGAAAAGCAGCAAGAACTGAGAGGGCTGGAGAAGCTCATGAAGAAATGGGAGCTATATAGTTAAAGCTCTATGGTTAAATACTGGTACAGTGATGACAGCCTTCCAGGTGCATACTATGTTTTCCTCAAATGTACTTTGAAGGTGCATTTTAGCATGTGTGATGTTTGAGGGAGGGTGCATAGCACAACAGAAAATTACTGTACACTTAACATTTCCTTGTGCCTATGGTAACAGAAAGTGTCAGAGAAAATTAAACATTTTTTCCTATGAAATAAAATTTGAACATTACTATTTGTTACATTAGTCCATTTCTTTCTTAAACTGCTATCAACATGTTAAGTATCAGGGGAAGGAAAGCAAGCAAGCAAGCATAATTCTCTTTCCATATCAATGGAAATTATGCAGATCCATGCAACATGGAGAGGAACATGAGATGTCTTTTAATTAAAAAGCAAGCACTAAGTTCTGCTTCTGTATTTCATGCCCTGTACAGAACACCAAAAAGTTTAAACTTTGCAGACATACCCACTTAAGGTCTTCCATGAGATTGATCACTTTTAAATTAACCCATACATATTTTGCAGCTGGTAGCCATGTATTTGTTCTATTTTGATTTTATGTTTGCTTAATATTACTTATTTGCTATGATACAAATATTTCAATTAACCATGCTCACTTATTTCACTGAAGCCAACCCTACAATGGGAGAAGTTAGTTGACCTGAAAAACTTTCCAGGTCAACTAACTTTATAACAGGCACAACAGTTGTCTTCCAACAACTACTGTTTTCCAAGCCTGGATGTGACAATGTGCCTCACCACCACTTCGCACGAACACCCACAGTCAGCCAGCAGCACGAACAGGCTGCAGCCTGGCAGAGCTGGAACAGCCCACTTCAGCCTTCACAATTACCTCCTGAACATGTTGGATAGTAAAGAGTTAGAAGGTTCTCCAGGGGCTGGGAAATCCATATTGGTAAGAACCAGCAACAGATGAGATGCAAACTGGAGGAGCATTTGGCACAAACCAAGGCATTTGGATGTCAGAACTGGATGCAACTGGAGTTGGCATCAGGTATGGAAGGCGGAAGCAGCAGGCAAAGCTCAAAACATGAGGAGATGGCAATGTGGACTGTAGGCTAAAGAAAGCCCACTTGCATTTGGGTCATGTGTTGGATGCAAACTGATTTGTGGAAGGTATATTATGGTATTGTATACAGGGAAAATACCAGCCTGCTACAGAATCCTGACTGGGGAAATAGATTTCCTTTAATAACACGTGACATCAAGGGAGATGAAGAAGTACCATGCAAACACACAGCAGATGTTCCCCTTGCTTGCCCTTGAAGAAGAAATCAATATTTTGGTCAGGTATTTATAGTAAAGGTATATAGTTTGTCTCCTGGAGAGATGCTGTTCTGCCTAAAAGTACTTTGTCACCTATATTAGTACCAGCTTCTCCCTAAACCAAGTTTCAGGTGAATCAGGTGATGCCAGGATGGGAAAAAGCAGGGGCAAACTCTTCCATGTTCTTCCATCTTTTCAGCTGGATTAGGATAAGTACATCAACATAGCTATGGAGTTATCTGACCTAGTCATGACTGTTGCCTTGAGAAACCTCCTTCTAGTGCAGGGACAATAGCTGAAGTCAGCTACAAACACTGTCCTAACAGAGACGAGTCTTAATTTCACTTTATACTCATGCCATCGCTTCTCTCAAGACTTTGCTTCAAAGGATGCTGTTGACTGAGTTAGGACATACTTTTTTGTAAGTTGCTCATAAAAGCTGAGTAACAAGATGCCATTAAGCGCTGTATATATATTATGAGAATCAGGAACTGTCTAACAGTATCCTAACTTTTTAGCAGCATCTTAAAATTTGAACTTTGAGAATGATAAAATAATGATCAACATTTGTTTGAGTGCATGAGAAAGGATGGCAACAGGTGACATGCACAGGTAAGAATTCAGTCTGATCATGGAGAAATGTATAAGGTTTGAGGAAAAGGCCATTTGCCATTGAACTCTAAATAACCCCAGATGGCAAATCCAGTATCAGAAGCAAACCAGCATGAAAGAAATAATGCGGTGAACAAAATAGGCACAGATTTGTAAAAGAGCAATAGAAATGACTGTTCCAAACAACATATGTAAAAATACTTGTTTGACAAATATAAATAACAATAGAAAGCTAATGCGCAGTGAGGAACATGAAATGTCTATAAAATGAAAATTGTATCTAGCACTTAAAAAAAAAGGAAAAAAGAAAAGATAGATGTCTAATTTAGGTGTAGAAAGCAGCACATATGCAAAAGATCAGCTCTAAACATAAGTAGGTAATGAAGGATGCTATTTCTGAGTTTCAGTTTTATTTTTACTAGCCACCTCCTGGGGCAGGAATTCTCTATTGTTTGCATAGAAACTCACTCTTCTAGTCTGTGATGATTAATAAGCAATAAAACATGACCTGCCTGCTATCAGTATGAGAAGGCATCCTACCTATATGGCTTTGACACTTAATGTAGTTTTTCTGATGCATAATGCAACAGCATTGAACTTGTTCAAATGATTACCTATTTCAGCTGCTAACTTGCTGCAAAGCAGAATATATTATGTATTTGTTATTTCCACACTCCTAACACAAAAACAGGGGATAGCAGATTGGGGTTATCCAAGAGGGTAGCATATTTCCTAGACAAATGTCAGTATGGCACCACAGATGTAAATATTTGCTAGAGATGCCTCACTGTGGTTAATTGTCAAGTACAGACCTTATTTTGTGGCACAAATTTTATGTCCACTTACCACTTAATATTTCTTTAGTCACTTGCAATTCTGTGTCTCTCTTTCAGATAAGAGATTATTTTTTTTTTTAAAGCGTACTACACTTTTTTTTTTTCTTTTCTTCACATTTCATGTACCAAAGCTCAGGCTTTTCTGACATTTTTCTGCTAAGGAGAAATCAGTGGCAGGCATAGGTCTGTGAGGAAACCCCCCCAGGGAAGGCTGAGAAGGAGGTGGCGAGTGGCTGAGCAGGCTCTAGACCTTCCCTCAAAACTCGCTGGTACAAAACCGCCCCCTGTAAGATATGCCTAAATGGAGCCACATCACATTATTTCCTCAAATTATCTCCAATATTTTACACACTGCTGACCTGAACACTGATGAAATCAACCTGGGCAGAGCAGTTTCTGTGCTAGCACATCCAAGCC